GACATGCGACGGCAGGTATGCTTCCAGCGTGCAGCCTGCCCTAGAGGCAGCAGGTAGCTGCGGCTGGGATGCCCGAGCTCCCAGAGAGGTGACCTGCTCCTCCAGCACAGCCACAGCCCTGGCAGCCGCAGCCTGCAGAGCTGTGCCTCCATCCGCAGCCCACCCCACTCCCAAAGGAGGGACCGGACCCCACAAGCAGGGAAACCGTCGCCCTTTCCTCCCCTCCACTCCACTCCCTGCCTGCGTCCAGGCGCTGCCTGCAGCAGGGAGCAGCCGGGGGGCCCAAGCTGGTGCCTGCTGCTTTTCAACGCTCATCCAAGCCCAGTGCAGCACTCACCAGCCAGGTCCTGTTTTGGGTTACTGACCCACCCCACAGCCCTTTCCCTGCCATCGCCCGCCCCCGAGAGCCGTGCGCCCACACCAGCCCTGGGCAAACCCAACCAGCAGCCCCCAGGCAGCACCGAGCAGAGACTGGCAGCATGGCCATGGGCACAGGAGGGATGCTCCACAGGGTCTGGCCAGCGCCAAGGGCACAAGGACAGCAGCTCACATGGCTCTGTCTGGGCCTATTTGCTACCAAGCTTGCCTACATAAATTAATCAGAGCTAATTGGCTTTTAGGTAAGTCTTCTTTGCAGGAGCTCTGCAAGAAAGACTTTGAAGTGGGATTGCAAGTGGCAAAACCTTTATTTAAACACACAGTGCTACACCAGGACAGGCTCCCAGCCCCAGTATCACTCCCTGCTTCCTCCAGCATGGAAGATGTCAATAGGTTAAAATCTCGCTGGATAACTTTCACTTCCCATTAAGTGCACCCAGTTTATTTACATCTTGCTGATTACAAGAGACAAACAACATTCACCAGAGGTGACACTTGACAAGAGCTAGCTGCACCCAGCGACAGCAGGACACAAACTACTGGTGCCACAGAGCCTTTCCAAAACAAGGGGCCATGGCCCAGCTCTCCCCCTTGCCACACTGCCAGGATGGGATCATCCTTCACGTTTTGGGAGGATGCAACGCTCTGCAGAGGTCCAGGAAACGCACCCAGAGGTATGGGTGATGCAGAATAGGATACTGTGCAGAGATCAACTGCTGCTACAGCTCTGCTCAGCACCAGCTTTGAGATTATTAAGAAAAAGGAGGGAGTTGCCCCCCCCCAGTCACAGCCAAGCTGCTTTCGTTGTGGGTTTCCAGCCCTCAGCTAAGCAGATCCATGCAGCACGTTTAAGCTGTTAAGCTTGGCTGAATAGGGCTGCTCTGTGTGCAACTGCTGCTCAGCAGTGGCCAACTTAGAGCCACTCAAAAATATAGACATAGATTCATACAGACTCCACACAACAAGTAAGGATTTCGACATTTTCCAGCTCAGCTCCCCAGTTAATAACAAATAATTGGCTCCAGAAACACAGCAGTGATCCAAGGCATGAAGAGGGGTGGGGGCAGAACCGGTGGCACAGCCAGTGCAAGTGTGATAGCTCATTCCTCCCCAGGGGCTCTCGGGGCACCGCAGTGACCGAGCGCCGCCCCGTCCTCCCAAACCAGAGACTAAGACAAGGAACGTGGCTGGGACGAAGGCATGAGGGGGCAGAGAGGGCAAGCACAAAGCTGGGATGTCAGTCGTGGGGCTCGCCCACCGCCATGCCACCCACCACCGGACTTCTGCCAGGCTGAGCATTGCCTGGCTGCCGGCAGGGCTTCACCCCAGGCCACGGCCCCTCAGGGGCCCAGCGCCCAGCCCCAACAGCAGCTTCGGTGTCAGCAGTGCAAGTGTCACAGGGCGGGAGGAGAGGAGATGATTGCAGCAGCAAGCACACGGTTCTCCAGCTACGAGTGCCCCCCCAGTCCGATGGCCATCGCACACTGCTGGAACAAGCACACCCGGGCCCAGGGCGAGGTGCAAAGGACGCATCGAGAAGCCAGGGAGCATTCAGGCTTTTCACAGCAATCAAGAAAATGGCAGCACGAAAAACATCCCTCAACCCCAGTCCCTGCTCTCTGTCCAAGGCCTTTCCATCTCCACCCAGGGCTGGAGGGGGATGCCCTGGGCAGGGCACAGGCAGAGGCTCCAGGTCTCTTACTCTTCTCGCAGTCGGCTCAGGGGAAAGGCAGCCCCGAGGCAGCACCGGTGTCCCGCTCATCTCCATCCAGGCAAAGCGAGCCCCTCTGCCCCGGGGTCTTTGGGCATCATGTGTAGTTGCCCGGGCCACCCAGAGGGATCACAAAGACAGAGATGTCATCACCAGAGCCCAGCTTGTCGTTGGCCAGCCGCCAGCCCCGCTCCTTCAGCACCCCCCTGGACCGCACCACCAGCTCCTGGGCCACCATGGTGTACCTGGGGGCAAAGCACAGCAGCTCGGCACCAACCCCAGACCCCACAGAGCCCCTGATGCAGCACGCTGCGGTCCCTGGCAAGGAAGAAGCTGGAGGAGCTAGAGGTGCAGGAAAGAGTCCCTTGGAGAGGAGAGACATGAGCTCAGATACACACATCCAGGGGAGCATTGCATGCTGTGGAGCAACAGCACCAGCCCCGAGGCACACATGGTCACCACGCTGCTCCAAGGAGTGAGGAAGATGTTATAGAGCAGGATACGCTCATCCCCCTGCCCACACTCACCTGCATGGGTCATTGGGCTCATAGCTCGTCAGCACCTCCATCACCACACGGGCCACCTCCTTGTCATTGGTGACATCCCAGAGCCCATCGGTGCCCAACACCAGAACATCGTCGGGGCAGTGCTCGTACTGCGTGAGGTCATAAACCCTGACCTGGCAAGCAACGGGGCAAGACGCGAGGGTGAGGGGCAGAGGTGGCTCCTGGAGAGCCCAGGCCAGCACTGGCACTGCCCTGAGCCGCTGCGCCGGGGATGCGCTCACCCCGACCGTCTCAGGAACCCCTGGGCACAGAGCGGCCGGCAGCCAGGCTCACCTCTGGGAAGCAGGACAGGAAAGGCTTGATGTGGATGTTGGAGCTGAACACCTTGAGGTCATGGTCTCCCAGGCCCCGCGTGACTCCGATCGTGGCCATCACCCGAGCCTGGGGAACGACAAAACCAGCAGAAAGCTTTAAGCTGCTTCATCTCTGCTTCCATTCCCAGCTGAGGATTGGTGGCTTTGGAGCAGCAACAGCACGAGCAAAACCAGGCTGGAAACCCCTGATTCAGCAAGGGCAGGCGGGGAGTGCCCCCCACACGGCTCCTGCCACAGCACTTCACCTTTTTGCCTTCCCCATAGATAAGTGGAAACTTCAGGTCATCCTCTTCTATCTTTTTGTAAGCCCTGATTAAAATAAGCCAGAGACAATGTGTCAGCAGGTGAAGGCTTCCAGCACCTCCCCTGCCCGCTTGGGACACAGCAT